GGGTCAACACTGACCCAGATCCGTGACATCGTTACCTTTATATAACCTTTCTTAGCCTCTCTTCGTCCTCCACTGTCCTATCCATCTTTCTCCATCTTTGTGTGTAGTTAGCTCTTTTTCTGCATTCTCCCTTAGAAGTTTAGCTAGCAGATCAAACGTGCAACAAACTGCACACAAACAGTTTGTGTGTTTCCTCATATTTGTTGAGCAAATAGAAATGTCCTCCTCCTCAGTAGCATTAACAAGATTCTGAAGTACGGTCCACTCCTGAGTATAAAAGCTATAATATGGCTGTGGTTATCAATGATTTTTCCTCTAAGAAGTTCCTGAAGTCATTACTAGTTAACGTTTAAGGGATGGTTGGCTCAACAGTGCTCTGACTTTTTGTCAGCCTGGCTACAGTGCTGAAGAGAAACCTGGGGTTGTTCTTATTTTCTTCAATCAGTGATGAATAGTAAGATGTTCTAGCTTTATGGAGGGCTTTCTTAAAAAGCAGCAAACTATTTCGCCAGGCTAAATGATGACCCTTTTAAATTAGTAACACCCCATTTCCTGTCCAGTTCATGAATTATCTGCTTTAAGGAATGCATTTGTGAGTTCTCTTTCATAGCATTCGTTTCGTGTCTCACTATGGGAACGCTTCCTGCGTGACCTCATCAGAAGCTCAAATACCATTACGCCAGCCCTTACAGGCTGGCTAGGTGACGCCCATGTCAGGAGGGGCCAGTGCCTCCCTATATAATAGGCTGACATAGCGTCAGATGTCATTGAAAAACCTCTTCTCGCTTCTCACAGAAGCCTGTAGACAACTGTGCTATTGGGTGCTAAAGCTAAACTGTCCACAGATTCGAGTGAACAACTTGGTCGCCGGGCGCTTTGTTCCCAGCTTTTCAGTTGTCCACTAGCATACAAGCAGTAGCAATACTGTTCTGTGGCTAGTGCGGGTGCCAAGTAGCAATACTTTCACCCAGCGAAGTAGCAACACTTTGCTAATAAAGGTACCCCTAGCTTCACCATCAGGTAGCAATACCCTTCGACGCTAGCAGTTTTACACATTAGGTAGCAATACCTGTAGAAAAGTAGCAACACTTTTCACCCCATGTTAGCGAGGAATAGCAATATTCTCCGCACTCAGTGTCAGTCTCACTAACGTGCGCGACCCTCTAGCTAACCATGGCTACGACGGCAAGAAGATTTCTGCCTGGGATACACACCCCGTGTCTGCGGCATGCCTGGGCTTATCTCACGCTCAGGCTGCCTTGACACCTGCACACGACTGTATCCACTGTGCGGCTTTCCCACGCAAACTACTCCGCTGCAAGCTAGCTCGCCAGGCTAACCTGTCGGGCGGCGACCCTTTGCTGTGTGAGGCTGCTGCGGCGCAAGGAGAAACTGAGATGCCCGATGATTTGGCCGCAACGCCAGGGCCAAGCTGGGCAGAGGCAGACCCTCAGCCCATCGCGACCGTTTTTCCGCGATGCTGGAGTCACCTGGGGAGGAGATGCTAACGAGGACGGAGATGAGTCGGCTGACTCGGAGCTCCTGCTGTCTAACGACAGCGAGGAGGAAGATTCCACCTCCTTGGCTAGCATCAGCTGGGCTGCAAAGCCCTCGGCTACCGGCGAGGTTGAAAAACCGACACCGTCGTCTCCCCTGGATCTCGACATGCAGGACATGTGCAAGCGCGCAGCCGCTAGGCTCAACATCCCGTGGCCCGCCATTCAAACAGAGGTTGTAAAGTCTCGTTTTGACGGTAAGAAATTGCCGAAGGCGAAAAAGACGGGGAAGCATGTGTTGCCTGTTTTCCCTGAGCTACTCGATGAGATAGCGGTGACGTGGAAAGCAAAACCTTACAGCGAGAAACACCCCATCGTGGGGAGCTCCCTGCTGGATTGTGAGGGGATGGAGTCTATCGGCCTCCGCCGGATGCCACAAGTGGAGCCGTTGGTGGCGAGCCATCTTCACCCGAAGACGTCTCTGTCCTCATCGGCCCCATCTCTCCCTCCCAAAACAGACCGCTTCCAGTCTAGCCTTACAGATAAGTGCTACAAGGCAGCGGCTCTGTCAGTAAGAGCCCACAATGCCTCTTCTATGCTAATGGCTTACCAAGCTGAGCTAGAAGAGGACATGACAGCTAACACAGATACCACAGTGTGGGAAGAAATCTGTGTTATAACTGACCACGTCCTCCGCCTCCACAAGGTAGCCATACAGGCTACTGGGAGAGCCATGGGCCTCATGGTTCTTCAGGAGCGAGCACGCTCACCAACCTGATGACTAAGGAAAAAGAGGAACTCCTCGACACCCCTGTCGTCCCTCACGGTCTCTTCGGTGCGGCTGTTACATCCATGCAGAAGAGATGTGAGGAGAAAAAGAGAGATGATGAGGCTCTGAAACTCTGCCTGCCGAGGAGGGCCCAGCACGCCACCCCAGCAGCGCCGCGCCAGTCATTCGCACAGGCAGCGTCTCGCCCGGTCCCCGCTTTCAGGATTCCCAAAGTGCCTAAGACGCAGGCAGCCCCCCAGGCTGCCGGGGCCCCTAAGAATCCATGGACTCGGAAGCAATCTCCCCAGGCCAGACCTCAAGCGGCCCCTCCTCCTCACCCCGCTGCCGCGATCGTGAGGAGGAAGAAGCGGCCGGCCTGACAGCCTCTCTTCTAGGCGGGAGCGAACCCAGTTTCCCCCCTTCATGGGCCACCCTCCCGCCTCCCAGCTCCGTTCCAGAGCAAGTTCAACGGGACATGTTCCACACAGAGTGCTTAACTCGGGCCGGCGTTCCTGTCACCGGACCCGCCAGAGGGAAAGAGAGCCAAAGTTCGCAGTGTTGTTTCACGAGCACTTCTCTCATGCATTCTGTATTAAAAAAGCCCCGACACGTGCATCCAGGCAGTTTGCCAAGGGCGGCGCTGTCGAGTGTTGCAAAACACATGAAAAAATCAAACATGCTGAAAAACGGAGCACCGTCTGCCATAACGCAGCCCGTGGAGACTCGCGTTTCCACGGCTGTGATGATGCAGATGAGCCCGTCACCTCGCTCGCCTGTCTCTCCACATGAAGAGCTGGGCCACCTGCACTCAGTCAGCATGGGTGCTGAGGACATTGAAAAAGGGCTACAGGCTGCAATTCAGTGTCGCTCCACCACAATTCAAAGAAATTATTTACTCTCGTGCTCCGGGCGAGTCTGCCAGTTTTCTCCTGGAGGAAATTTCCACCTTGAGAGACAAAGGAGCTATAAGAGTTGTCCCTCCCGAGGAAATGCACAGCAGATTTTATTCAAGGTATTTCCTTGTGCCAAAGAAGGGGGGGGAGGGGGATGAGAGCCATTCTGGATCTCTGTGCCCTGAACCGGCATTTGAGGACATACAAGTTCAGGATGTTGACGCACGTCTCGCTGCTACGGTTTGTACGAGCGGGCGACTGGTTCACATCAATCGACCTGAGGGATGCTTATTTCCACATCCCCATATATCCCCCACACCGAAGGTATCTGAGATTTGCTTTCCAGGGGATGGCATACGAGTTTGTAGTCCTGCCTTTTGGTCTCTCACTGAGCCCAAGGGTGTTTGTGAAATGCACCGAGGCAGCAGTGGCCCCGCTCAGGAAAAAGGGCATTCGGGTGGCCAGTACATCGACGATTGGCTGGTGGCAGCCCCAACCCGCCAGGGAGCGACTTGTCACACAAATGCTCTCATACACCATCTGGAGAGTTTGGGTTTCCAGATAAACGTGGAAAAGAGCACATTGACGCCAACTCAATGCATTACTTTCATAGGGCTCAGCCTAGACTCCCTTCGGGTGAGGGCTTTTCTGTCCCCGGAGAGAACGGCGGCCATACAGTCATCCCTTGCACTGTTTCGCAGAGGCAACACAGTGACCCTCAAACAGTGCCAGAGGCTGCTCGGTCTGATGGCTTCTTCTCTAGTGGCGATACCACTGGGACGCCTGCACATGAGAGGCTTTCAGCGCTGGGTGGGCTCGCGGGGACTGGACCCTCACCGAGACGGCCACCGTCGCGTGAGAGTCTCTGCAGACTGTTCACTCGCTCTCCACGAGTGGAAGAGGCCAGGTTTCTTGTCTCAGGGCGTTGCCATGGGGGCAGTTTCAGCCAGGAAGGTGATTTCCACAGATGCCTCTCTTTCCGGCTGGGGGGCCACCCACGAGGGCAGAACAGTGAATGGGGAATGGGACCCTCACATGCGCTCTGCCCACATAAACTGTCTGGAACTGCTGGCGGTTCACCTGTCACTAAAACACTTTCTCCCTTGGCTGAGAGGTCATCATGTTTTAGTGAGGTCGGACAATTCCACCGTTGTGGCCGACATCAACAGACAGGGGGGTCTGGGGTCCCCCAAGTTACACACGCTGGCACACAGACTGATAGTCTGGAGCAGTGTCCACCTGCTGTCACTGAGAGCAACTCACGTGCCGGGGATCTTGAACTTTGGAGCAGATCTTCTCTCCAGGGGCAACCCGCTGTATGGGGACTGGAAGCTTCACGCGGAGGTAGGGAAGCAGATCTGGCTGCGATTCGGTCAGGCGACCGTGGACGTTTATGCATCCAGGGAGAATGCTCAGTGTCCCCTATTTTACTCGCTGCACGATCAGAGAGCTCCACTCGGGGTGGATGCTCTAGCTCACAACAAAATTCACAATATTGGACACAGTGGGGACTATTAATGTGATAGCTTACCTGTGTGGCAGTATAGTTTAGATAGCTGCTCTAAATTGTGTTGGTACATGACAATGAAGAAATGAACAGTGGTGGAATGACTTCCTTAACTCAGGTACAGCATTTTCAGAAAAAACACGTACTGTAATGAAATGTATTTCTCAACGCTGTGTAATTCATTAGTGAAAAGTTAAATGTTATTAAGAAATTGAGGGTTTTGTATCCATTTTTTCTAATATTTTTCCGTGCGGGTATTTATAAATTTACTAAATATATATATTGAGAGATTTTAATTTTTATGAATGTTATCACATTCATGTACTTCCTGTCAGTCTGCAGAATATGGTTCCCCTTCTGGACGGCCCAGTGGAAGGTGGAGCTCCAGCCAGCTCCCAGCAGCAGTTGCAGGAGCAAGAGAAGCGTATTGAGATCTCCTGTGCTCTGGCTGCTGAGGCCTCTCGTCGTAGTCGCCTTCTCTCTGGTGAACACTCTCACCACATGGCAGCATCACATGGCACCTGAGTCCACCACACTCTTTCAAAACTAAGTCATGACATAGACAGGACCACAGTGGCACAATTGCTCTCTGTGTTTTAAAGCCCTGACTGGTAGCTGCTTTTATGTGCATGAACTTATATATATATATATATATATATATTATATATATATATATATATATATATTATATATATATATATATATATATATATATATGAATAAAAGATAAGATAAGATAAAACTTTATTAATCCCTCGGGTGGGTTCGTCTGGGAAATTCGGTTTCCAAAGGCACAGCACCGACAGAAGTTACAATACATATACGCACACACACATATATAAATACAGAGACATATATAAATAAAATATACGAAGGGGATAAATAGAATAAATACGAATAAAAATAAAAATACAAGTGAATTGCACATTTAAAGTATTGAGGTCTATTGCACCGTTGACTATTAACAAAAGTATTGCACAGTGAAGTGAAGAGGCACTACAGCTTAGTTGTTCCCCCCTCCTTTGTCCTCCTTTTCCCCCTCCCTCTCCCCTCCAGAGAGGCGTTAAACAGTCTGACGGCGTGTGGGACAAAGGAGTTTTTAAGTCTGTTGGTTCTTGTCTTTGGGAGAAGCAACCTGTCACTGAACAGACTCTTCTGGTTGTTTATGGCCGTGTGCAGAGGATGCCCAGCATTGTCCATAATTGTCCAGCAGTTTTTTTAGTGTCCTTTTCTCTGCCACTGTCACCAGAGTGTCCAGCTTCATGCCAACCACAGAGCCAGCCTTCCTGATCAGTTTCTGTAGCCTGGATGAGTCATATATATATATATAAATATATATATATATATATATATATATATATATATATATATATATATATATATATATATTTTTTAGGGGTGCAACGATACACAAAATTTACGGTTCAGTTCGATACTTTGGTGTCACGGTTCGATATTTTTTCGATACAAAAAAAAATGTTCATGCCTTTTTAATTTGTCATTTATTAAAATTATATATATATGTATTTTAACTCAAAAGTACAGTTTTTAAATGTAATGTTGCTGAAACAACAAAGTAATAAAAAAATTAATCTATCTGATCGAGGAATCACTCCTCTTTGGAAAAGAGAGTTTATTACAGAGAAATGGCTCTTTTCAAAATAAAAGCTATACTATACGCTTCTTCTGGGGTATACTCTCAGCAGCATATTAAACATATCAGGTCCCCATAAGGAGAATCGTGTGCTAACGGCTGTCTAAATGACTCTGGTAAAGTTTGTAGCATGCGTGCTTGTTGTTTTTGTCTGCTTCCACTTGTCTTTGCACTAGGATGATGTTGGAGTAAATGTGCAGTCATATTCATTGTGTTCCCACTAGTGCTGTCAGCGTTAATCTGAAATGACGTTAACGTTACAACACGGCAAATCTCCGTTAACGAGCTACCGCGGATCGCCCTGTGCGTGGGGCTGGACGGCATCAACACGTTAACGAACTAACTGCGCTAACGCACTAGTTCCCACCAATTGAGCATTGCGTGGCACATCCAACATACTGTTTTACTTTTGTCCACAACGCGCTTACCTTCAGTGTCATACTTCACATGAAAACCAAAATAGTTCCAAACGCCAGATCTGAATTAGGGTGGGGGAGGTTCAATTTGCCATATTAGAGAGCTTAACTTCTGTCTCGCTAGCTTGCTCTGCGCTCAGTGAATCTGCGTTTGACTACTCCGCCTAGGCTGCACTGTCGAGCACAGATCCACTGAGCGCTCAACACAGACAGCATCGTCAGAAGGAAAGTTGATCAAATAAATTTAAAATGTTGTATTGTTCAATACATATGCGTACCGAACCGAAAGCACTGTATCGAACGGTTCAATATCGATACGAGTATTGTTGCACCCCTAATATATATATATATATATATATATATATATATATATATATATATATATATATATATATATTACTATCAGCTTCATCCATCCATCCATCTTCATCTGCTTTATCCGAGGCCGGGTCGCAGGGGCAGCAGCCGAGAGGCCCAGACCTCCCTCTCCCCAGCCACCTCCTCCAACTTATCCGGGGGAACACCAAGGCATTCCCAGGCCAGCCGAGAGATATAATCGCTCCAGCGTGTCCTGGGTCTGCCCCGGGGCCTCCTCCTGGTGGGACATGCCTGGAACACCTCACCCAGGAAGCGCCCAGGAGGCATCCTGCTCCTTTCGATGTGGAGCAGCTGGCTCCTTTCGATGTGGAGCAGCAGCGGCTCTACTCTGAGCCCCTCCCGGATGGCCGAACTTCTCACCCTATCTCTAAGGGAGAGGCCAGCCACCCTTCGGAGAAAGCTCATTTCTGCCGCTTGTATCCGCGATCTCGTTCTTTTGGTCACTACCCACAGCTCGTGGCCATAGGTGAGGGTAGGGACGTAGATCAACCGGTAAATTGAGAGCTTCACTTTTACACTCAGCTCCCTCTTCACCACGACGGACCGGTGCAGCGTCCGCATTACTGCAGCTGCAGCCCCAATCCGTCTGTCGATCTCCGGCTCCCTTCTCCCATCACTCGCGAACAAGACCCCGAGACACTTGAGGCAGAAACTCATCCCCGAGTGGGCACTCCACCCTTTTCCGGCTGAGAACCATGGCCTCAGATTTGGAGGTGCTGATCCTCATTCCCGCTGCTTCACACTCGGCTTCAAACCGTTCCAGTGCGAGCTGGAGGCCCTCACCCGATGAAGCCAACAGAACCACATCATCCACAAAAAGCAGAGATGAGATTCTGAGGCCACCGAAGCGAAAGCCCTCCGCCACTTGGCTGCGCCTAGAAATCCTGTCCATAAAAATTATGAACAGAACCGGAGACAAAGGGCAGCCCTGGCGGAGCCCATCACCCACCTGGAACGAGTCCGACTTATTGCCGGCAATGTGAACCAAGCTCTTGCAACGGTTGTATAGGGATTGAATGGCCCGTAGCAATGGGCCAGACACCCCATACTCCCGCAACACCTCCCACAGGACACCCCGAGGGACACAGTCAAATGCCTTCTCCAAGTCCACAAAACACATGTAGACTGGTTGGGCAAACTCCCATGCACCCTCAAGTATCCTTGAGAGGATAAAAAGCTGGTCCAGTGTTCCGCGACCAGGATGAAAACCGCATTGGGGCGACCGTGGCTCAGGGGGTTGGGAATTGCATCTGTAACCGGAAGGTCGCCGGTTCGATCCCTGGGCTCTCTGTCCTAGTCGTTGTGTCCTTGGGCAAGACACTTTACCCTACTTGCCTACTGGTGTTGGCCAGAGGGGCCGATGGCGCGATATGGCAGCCTCGCTTCTGTCAGTCTGCCCCAGGGCAGCTGTGGCTACAAACGGTAGCTTGCTTCCACCAGTGTATGAATGTGAGAGTGAATGAATAGTGGTATTGTAAAGCGCTTTGGGTGCCTTGAAAAGCGCTATATAAATCCAATCCATTATTATTATTGTTCCTCCTGTATCTGAGATTCGACTAGCGGACGAAGTCTCCTTTCCAACACCCTGGCATAGACTTTCCCAGGGAGGCTGAGGAGTGTGATCCCCCTGTAGTTGGAACACACCCTCTGGTCTCTCTTCTTAAAGATGGGGACCACCACCCTGGTCTGCCAGTCCAGGGGTACTGCCCCGGATCCCCACGCAACATTGTAGAGGCGTGTCAACCAGGACAACCCTACAACGTCCAGAGCCTTCAGGAACTCGGGGCGGACCTCATCAACACCAGGGGCTCTGCCACCAAGGAGTTGTTTAACTGCCTCAATGACCTCGCCCCCGGAAATTGGCGACTCATCCCCAGACTTTGCTTCCTCCTTGGAAGACGTCTCAGTGGGATTAAGGAGGTCCTCGAAGTATTCCTTCCACCGCCTGACAATTTTCTCAGTCGACGTCAGCAGCGCTCCGGCAGCACTATACACAGTGCAGGTAGAGCACCGCTTTCCCCTCCTGAGATGCCTGACGGTTTGCCAGAATCTCTTCGAGGCAGTCCAAAAGTCTTTTTCCATGGCCTCTCCGAACTCCTCCCACACCCAAGTTTTTGCTTCAGCCACTGCCCAAGCCACATTCCGCTTGGCCTGTTGGCTGCCTCTGGAGTCCCACAGGCTAACCAAGCCCGATAGGACTCCTTCTTCAGCCTGGTGGCTCCCTTGACCTCCGGTGTCCACCATTTGGTTCGGGGATTACCACCACGGCAGGCACCAACCTCCTTGCGGCCGCAGCGCAATGTAGCAGCTTCGGCAATGGAGACGCTGAACATGGTCCATTCGGACTCAGTGTCCCCAGTCTCCCTCGGAATGCTGTTGAAGCTCTACCGGAGGTGTGCGTTGAAGCTCTCGCGGACTGGGGCCTCTGCTAGACCTTCCCAGCACACCCTCACTACGCGTTTAGGTGCACCGGGTCTGTCCAGCGTCCTCCCCCGCCACCTTATCCAACTCACCACCAGGTGGTGATCAGTTGACAGCCAGCCCCTCTCTTTACCCGAGTGTCCAGAACATATGGTCGCAGGTCTGGTGATACGATTACAAAATCGATCATCGACCTACGGCCTAGAGCGTCCTGGTGCCACGTGCACTTATGGACAACCTTATGTTCGAACAAGGTGTTCGTTATGGCCAAACTGTGATTTGCACAGAAGTCCAATAAAACACCATTAGGGTTCTGATCAGGGAGGCCGTTCCTCCCAATGACGCCCCTCCAGGTCTCGCTGTTGTTACCCATGTGAGCACTGAAGTCTCCCTGCAGGACAACAGAGTCTCCACGTGGAGCACCTTCCAGCACCGATGACAAGCGCAGATGACAGTCGAGACCCGTTCCCCGACCCTAAGGCGCAGGGAACAAACCCTCTCATCCACCTGGAAAAACCCCAACGTACCGGCAGCCAGCTGAGGGAATATTAGAATACCCACCCCAGCCCGCCGCCTCTCACCAGGGGCAACTCCAGACTGAGACAGTGTCCAGCCCCTCTCTAGGAGACTGGTTGCAGCGCCCAAGCCATGCGTAGAGGTGAGCCCGACTATATCTAGCCGGTACCTCTCAACCTCACGCACTAACTCAGGCTCCTTGCCCACCAGAGAGGTGACATTCCATGTCCCTATTGCCAGTCTTGGCAGCCGGAGATCAGTCCGCCAGGGCCTCTGCTCCTGGCCGCCACCCGGCACACAATGCACACTATGGCGTCTCCTGCGGGTGGTGGGCCTGCGGGAGGATCTAAAATTTTAACCTTCTCATCTTTACTTTGCAAAAATACAGAAGAAATGTGTCCTTGAGCGTATTCAACTGTACTTGTGTTACTTTGCAGTGTCTCAAATCACATGAAGCCCAGTCTGGAGCTTCTTTGATGCTCCATGTCTGAGTGGAAAGAAATCACTGCTCTGTTTTGTTTTACATTTTCACCTTCTGCCCGTCTCTTCTCACTGCAGCTCAGTGTGCCTCCAGTTCTCCAGTCTCCCCAACAAACATAGTTTCTCCCCCTTCCTCGGCTGACTTTCCCATCTCAACCCACACCATGAAGGTGTGATTCTCACAAGGTGAGTCTCTATTAGCAGCATAACCTTTCCACCTGTCCTTTTCAGAAGAACGTCTTCTTACATTACTCTCTGGTGCTGTTTTTGTGTGATATCTCCCAAATGATATGACTATTTATAAGGATGTAGGTTTTGAAAAGTCGTAGTTATGTTCACAATGTGGGCAAGTGTTCCCTCAGTAATATCACAGTCTTGATGCTTATTTTATTAATTTACAACATCATAAGAAAAATGACATGGTTATACAGAAAAAGTATAACCATTTATTACCCACGATAAGCTATCTTTGCCTCTCTTATAATTTTCTTTTATTCCTCTTTTAGTTCAAGCCCTGGGCGCTGTTAAGGTTGATGGAGCATCTTTCTGAGGATTGACTCAAAAAACTGGAAAGTCTCAGAAAATGGAAAAAGAAAGACCAAATTTTTACAACAAAATCATTTAAATGTGTCAAATTAAATTTCTGGGAGGTAATAACAATTTGAAATCCAAAAGAATGGGGTAAGACTCATGAACTCAAGACTCCTCCTGTTATATATGCACTGTAATGACAAAGGAACACTTCAGATTACTTAGCATACTTCTTTTTCTTTTAGCTCAGGATATATCCTACAAAGTAGAAATTACTGAAAAACTAACAAGGGAACATAGCATATAAGAAGCTCTCGCTGAAGATCAACTATGAAAAAAAGCTACAGAGAGTATGAAGAGAGACAGTTTCTAAGAGTGTGATGTAAATGAATCTAAAGATGCATCTGGGCCCTGAAAGCCAAAGTTGAAGAACCAACCAGCCCAACTACTGGCCTGTGAAGCTCAGTGAGGAGTGAGGCTATGGATATTTATTCACACTGGTTGAAGTCTTTGGAAAGTTTCGTGTAACAGAATCACATTTTCTTTACGGTCAGATGCTGTGTAAAATGCAAATAAAAACAGAATGTAATGATTTACAAACAAATTAATTACGTTTATGAAAACGGTACAAGAAAAACTATATATATAATAAAAAGGAGAAATTTTTTTGAAAAGAAGAAGCTCCCATGTTTGGTGTAATTCATTTCATAATGCACCAAATGTTTACAGTGAGTGAAGTAGGACCTGAAGTGGAGGCAGGCCATTTTAGGACCTGGACATGTTATCAATGCTGATACAGTCCAAGGATTTGGCAGAAAAGCATGTGTGATTGAGAGCATGTTGCTGTATAAACTTGTACACATATCGTTGCATGTAAGTAAATTCACATTTGCCTTCACAGATGTTGAAAATATCTATACCATGCTGCACCCTCAAATTGTTACTGATGCTGGCCTTGAAGCTGTGCACCAGTGACACGCAGCAGCTTTAAAATATGTTGCTGCTTTATGTCAACATTTGATATGGATCTTTTGTTTTTCTTTACATTTTATACAGCCTACCAAGAGCTGAACACAGATGCCGTGTAGTCATGTACCCTTCGTAGTGTTACAGGTTTATCTCTGAGCACGATGTCCGGGACGCTGAAGAGACCTATAACCTCTGTACATTGAAATAGCCATCTGACTGGTGTGGGTACTGTACAGCAAATATTGAGGGATGTTGAAAATTTATGTAGCTGAAATCTGGTGGAAACCAAGATAAGTTGTTGTATATGAATGTAATTTAAATTGGACTCACATACAGGATTGGTAGTTCTATTTTTAAGAGACATGATTACCTCAACACAGACACATACTGCATTTGGTTAAATGGCTTTGCACTTAACATCAAATTGAGTAGGAGTTCCTCGATGACTTTTCCCTGTGATTGTGTCACGTTTATAGGTATGTGGATTGTTTGTTTCTCTAGATAATGATATGCTGTATATGGGACAATAGAAGTGACCTTAGAAGAGCAGTTTGGTAGTTTGTTATTTAAAAGATGTTCTCTTTTGTGAAACACTGGCATTTCATCCAATAATGCAGAGCCATAACATTTTATTTGCTTCTTGTACTGTACACACACACACACACACATATATATATATATATATATATATTAGGAGTGCAACGATACACAAAATTCACGGTTCGGTTCGATACTTTGGTGTCACGGTTCGATATTTTTTCGACAAAAATGTTCATGCCTTTTTAATTTGTCATTTATTAAAATTATGAATATATATTTTAACTCAAAAGTACAGTTTTTAAATTTAACCCTAACCCTTGTGCGTGTTTTTTATTTTGACAGCGATTGACAGAGAAATGTCTTTTTCCAAAATAAAAGCTATACTATACGCTTCTTCTGGGCTTTATTCTCAGCAGCATATTAAACATATCAGGTCCCCATAAGGAGAATCGTGTGCTAACGGCTGTCTAAATGACTCTGATAAAGTTTGTAGCATGCGTGCTTGTTGTTTTTGTCTGCTTCCACTTGTCTTTGCACTAGGATGATGTCGGCGTAAATGTGCAGTCATATTCGTTGTGTTCCCACTAGTGCTGTCAGCGTTAATCTCGTTGAAATGACCTTAACGCCACAACACGGCAAATCTCCGTTAACGAACTACCGCGGATCGCCCCGTGCATGGGGCTAGACGGCCAACACGTTAACGAGCTAACTGCGCTAACACACTAGTTCCCACCTATGTAATTGAGCATTGCGTGGCACCAGAGTTGGGCAATCTGTAATCTGATTACTTTTTTCAAGTAACGAGTAAAGTAAGGGATTACTATTGCAAAAACGGTAATTAGATTACTGTTACTTTCCCGTAGGAACGCTGCGCTACTGCGTTACTAAAACCGTGATTTTTTGCGAGAATGTCTCACGACAGTGACGTAAGCGAGTGCGCCGTTAGTGACAACAGCTGTGTACAGATCAACAATGGATCACATATCGATTGTGGGAGAGAGTATGAGCGTGCAGCGTTTAAAGCGTGGAAGTACTGACCGTACTTTGAGTTTGATTCCATAAAAAGTGACAAAAACATTAGCGTACATTGTGCGTGGGAAGAAAACTTCTTTTTACAGCGAAAAAAACCCCTAAACTTCCAAGCAAGCACCGAGTAGCTACGACGTGATGGGAAACTCACAGAGAAAGTCACGGATTCTTCAACTGACCGCGGCACACCTGCACCAGGGTAAACCTCCGCCTACCGCAGTCCTGCTTTACAGGTGAAAATAGAGCAACAGGACCGCTGAGTCTTTGACTTTATTTATTTTCTGCTGTGTTTTACTTGCATCTATTTGAAAGAGTGAGTGTAAACACAAAAAATATTTTATTTTATGTGCTGGAATGTGCAGAAAATAGGTTTAAATGTTAAACTAATTTATTCAAGTCAGAGAATGTTGCATATAATTAAATTTTTGCTTGATGCATAAAGTTAAAAGATTAAAACTGATAAAACAAGTTTAAAAAAGAGACTTTTCCATTTGATTACATTTTGTACTTGTACATTTTTTGGACTGAAAGATCTATCGCTTTATCACCTCTTCAGGTTGTAAATCGTGTTTTTAAAAAGTAACTGAGTAACCAAGTAATTAATTACTTTTGAAAATAAGTAATCAGTAAAGTAACGGGATTACTTTTTTGGGGAAGTAATCAGTAATTAGTTACTGATTACTTTTTTCAAGTAACTTGACCAACACTGCGTGGCACATCCAACATACTGTTTTACTTTAGTCCATGACGCGCTTACCTTCAGGGTCATACATCACATGAAAACCAAAATAGTTCCAAACGCCAGATCTGAATGAGGTTCAATTTGCCATGTTGCAAGGAGAGCTTAACTTCTGTCTTGCTAGCTTGCCCTGCGCTCTTCTTTCTGCCTATGCTGTCTGTGTTGAGCGCTCAGTGGATCTGCGCTCGACAGTGCAGCCTAGGCGGAGTAGTCAAACGCAGATTCACTGAGCGCACAACACAGACAGCATTGTCAGAAGGAAAGTTGATAAAATAAATTACAAATTTTGTATTGTTCGATACATATGCTTACCGAACCGAAAGCACTGTATTGAACGGTTCAATGTCGATACAAATATCGTTGCACCCCTAATACATATATATATATATATATATATACATATATATATATATATATATATATATATTATATATATATATATAGTACAAAAAAAAAAAAGCTAAGTGCGCTCTGTGATACTTAAAACCCTCTAAGTATCATGTTACAATGGAAAGTAATCAGGTCCTCACCAGGTTTTAAAATGGGGCCAATACAAGAACAAAACTCTGCACATTACACTGTGTTATTATTTAGGTGTGAGGAAACCTAAGAACGCATTTACAGTACCAGACAAAGCATACTATGACCTCATAGGAGAGTAATCCTAAGCACATCAACAAGAAAGCAAAAAAAAAAAAAAACCCCACAAAACATTAATAATCTAATCAAATCTACAATAAGAAGGATATGAGTAGAACTGAGGCATTATCATAGTCCACGGTTCAGACCCCATCTATTGTCCTCATGACAGGTGTCCATGAACAAATGTCTGCAAACCTCAATAAACTGAAGTGACTGTATAGAAGAGTACGGCAAAATGGCTCCACAAGTATGTGAAAGGTGATGAGAGGATACAAGCTACTGAATCATTGGATGTCATTAGTTTTTCACACACTGCTTATGCATTTTGTCTTTGTTAATTAAATCAATTATGACATAGTGTTAAACTCAATGTTCATCTCAAATTGTATTTACCTCATTTTAAAACCTGGTAAAAACTATACATAATTGTTTTATCACTCCCTTATAAAGCCTTAGATTGATTTTCTTTTTACCATGACCTTAGGCTTTACAAAATGTGCAGAAATGACTGCATTTGTTTGGTTGTTTGTTTTGTTGCTTTGTTTTGGGGTGTTTCACACATGGACCTGCAGAACTTTGATCCTCTTTGAAACCATGCTCACAGTTAAAGATACTATCACTGACTAGAGTATCAGAAGGACGAATAACTTTTTTGCTAATTTTTAAATACAAATATAAATACGCTGCACAAAAATGAAAGAAACACCTTTTTAATCAGAGAATAGCATGTAATGAGTGAAACTTTGAGAACATGCGCCATCTGCTCCAGCCTGTCAAACATAAACAATCTTTCCTTTTAAGTACTTAGGAAATCCTTGAATTTATAAAAACAAAACAAAACTAACAAAAAAACCCACAAAAAAACTAGGAAAAAAATCACTGTATTCAGTCATAATACTTTTTCTGACTATATAAATGCAGTAGACACATAAACTGTGATGTTTTAATCCAAAAACACACCTTTGTTAAAAGTTACCAGTTTATGTTATAGACACACTGTATTAGATTCACACATGTACACCTCCCTGTTTGGTGTGTATTCTTTGTGCTTTTTGCCCTGAAACTCTGATTGTAAAGGGTCTGTGAACAGATTGTGTGACAATAGCCACAGAAAATGGAATTTGACACACAAATGATCACCGCTCACACAGTGCATGTAAGACAGGTGGACACATACAGTTAGCCCATAAATATTTGGACAGACAACTTTTTTCTAATACTGGCTCTGTACATTTTAAATGAAGCAAATCAAATGCAGTTGAAGTGCAGACTTTCAGCTTTTATTCAGTGGGTTGATCAAAAATAAATATGAGGAAGTAAAGCATGTTTTAACTCAACCCCTTCATTTAAATATTGTCTACCTTACCTTGCAAGCTGCTTTTAAAGCACCTTGAGGTAACTGTTACTGTGATTTGGTGCTGTATAAATAAAATCAAATTGAATTTCAGGGGTTTGAAAGTAATTGGACAAATTCAATAACTGAAAATAAAATGTCTGTTTCTAATACTTGGTTGAAAAGCCTTTCCTGGCATTGACAGCCTGAAGTCTTGAACTCATGGTTTCCTCCTTTTTAATGCTCTGCCAGGCTTTACTTCAGTGACTTTCGGTTGATGTTTGTTTGCGGCCCCGTCTGAAGCTTAGTCTTCAACAACTGAAATGCACACTCACTTAGTTTAAGATCAGGTGACTGCCTTGGCCATTCAAGAATATTCCACTTGCTTTAATAAACTCCTGGGTTGCTCTGGCTGTATGTTTGGG